AAACTAAAATGCAATAAAAATCTCAATTTCGCTAAAAAATTCCCGGAACCTGATTTTCCTAGCGATCAACCCATATAGTGATAATTTATTATAAGTGGTTTGGTTTAAGAATAAAGTTCGTTATGGGTCAAAATCAGTTTATTGCGGATCACTATATCGAGTTCTGACTGTATAACATTTGTTGAGAAAGTTTAATCTTGAACTTGATAGAATAAATTATTAATCTCAAATGCAAACATAATAAAAAAATTTATAAATTGAATGAAAATTGAAATTGAATACTGTAGATTTATAGTGTATAAAGTTTTAAATAAAGAACATGTTAAGAAAATATTGGGTATAAACTTCAATTTCCTGATATTATCTCCTATTCTTCTAATTATTCGATTGTATTCAGGGCTATAATTGTGATCGTAAAATACTACGTATTGTTTAATTGTTGCATCGAAAAAAAATAGATAAAGTAAATGACGGGTATTTGATTCAGTTGATCTGTGCTACAGTAATTTGTAGTTTATGACGCTGCGATTTTCAAAATAATATTCGAAGATTGCTACAGTACTTAAAATTTTTGATTAACTAGATTCATGGTCATGTCGGCCAGGGGCCGGCCTTAATATTTGAAAGTAACATATGTATTTTATTTAATTTTATAATTATCATTATTAATTTTGCTAGTATATATATTATATATGTAAAGATTTTGGAAGTGGTTGGGATGCTTTTTGTTTTAGATGAAAATATTCTTTTTTTTTATTTAGGTAGGTTGGTTAGTTCAGTTCCCTTTCTTAGGCCAAAAACTGAATGAAACTTTCAAACAGAATGGTCCAGTTCATCACCACGGCAAAGGTAAGCTGACTAAAATTCTTTATTAATTTATTGTTTTTACTAGCAACCCTACCCCGGGGTCTCTATCGCGATGAAAAAATGTAAAGATTAATAAATTTAAAATAAATAAAATTGGGTTAATTATTTATAAAATTTTTTTTAATTTTTAAATTTAATTTATTTTAATTTTTTTAAATTTTAATATAACTTTTAATTTAGTTTATTTTACCTCCCCAATCCAATGAATTTATTTATTTGGAAGCTAAGCTATTACAGCTAATTTCAAAATTCACGGGACAGACGATCATTTTGCAAATCGATGAAAAAAAAACTCGGTAAATCTCAGTATAGAATTTTTTGAAGAAAAAACATTATCGCTATGTTCAGTTCAGTGTTCTGAATATAGCGACATAGTTTTTTTTACCCATATAAAAATGTGGTTGGCTTTTTCAAATCCTTATAAATGTTCTCGGAAAAGTTTTGGTTATTATCGGCTGTCTCGTGACTTATGAAATTAGCTGTAAAATCACCTTATGGGACCTTACTAACCAAAATTGAGATTTTAATTCATATTGTTATATGATATATGAACTTTATTTGGTTAAAATTTTTTAGTCGATTATCTTATTAACAAAGCAAGCAATAAGGCCGTCAAAATTTCTCATTTTTGTGTAACATCAGTCGAAAAATCTAAAATTAGAACTTAGAAATGATCGATATTATTATTTAAAAGTAAAAAAGTTTCGGACTTTAACCATTATTTGAATGTGTGATTAAATGAGAGCTATTTCATAATGAATACCACAGCAAATATATATATATTTTTTTAAAAAAATAAATATAAAAAATAATTTTTCTTTTAAAAATTGAATTTCTAATAAATTAGTGTAACAATATCCCGTAGGGTAATTTTAATAGCAAAAATCTCGTGATACGAAATTGTATTCAAGTAAATTTAAATAATAAATTTTATATCGTCTTATTACTCTATATTTAAAAATAGAACTATTTATTATTGGTTGGAAATGTTTACTGTGGCGTAGCATTTTTTTAATCATCATTTACTCAAAATCAATTTCTTATCCCGTAAGGTGATTTTAATAGCTTAGTGTTAGCCCCCATTTTTATTAATTAAATTTCAAATTTTTTTTAAATTTTGTTTTTCTCAGTTTCGATTATTTTTTTTATTTCTCCCCTCCCCTCCTCTTCGGTCTTTTTTTTTATGGGTTTATATCTTTCGTTATTTTTATTATCTTTTTTTTTTAATCTTGTTTTTTTAACTTTCCTTTTTTTTTAATCTACTTTCTATTTTTTTTGTTTCATTTTTTGCCATGAAATACTCTAATAAGTTCAATATTATTTTCTAATTAGTTCAAAACTTTTTTTATATATAAATTCGTAACTGTTTCATCAAGTTATTTATTTTTTTTTATAAAAAAAAAAAGATATTAATACTATAATTTCTGAAAATTTATGTCGATGATCTTTTGAATTTACCAAATAACGTATTTATGCAATTTGATTTCTGCTATACTTTTAAAATTCCTTCCTCTTAAGTTGTGTATAAAAGTGCATTGCTTTTACTTGTTTTGACATATCTTGTAATTTTGATTAAATTTGTTTAAGATAACCACAATATAATTTACAATAAAAAGTATATATAAATTATTGACTAGGTAACGGAACCTTGGAGCATCCGAAGCGTCTCTCAATTCACAAACCTCAAAACCTAGTAAAATAAAAAAGTAATATGTAAACAAAATACACACTTCATACGTTACACCTGATCTCAGTTTCTGATTAGCCATATCACGCGTGCGGACAGACATGGTTACATGGTTTACAGTAGAATGGAAGTGTCCTTCGGATAATAACGTCATTTTATTTTTGTAAAATTTATTTATTAAAAGTAAAGTTATCTAAATAATCAAAATTGACATCAATAGTATATTTTTATATAAATATTATAAGACTGAAGCGAAAGATTTAAAACAACGATTTAAAGGTTTTAGATTATAAATTTTAAAAAAGGTTGTATTTGAAAAGGCTATGAAGCAATATAGGAAAATTTTCCAATTTCAACTTATTTATTAATGAAAATTTTTCAGAATAAATTGAGTCAATTAAATTAAGCAAATATCAAAATCGAAATATAAAAACGTCCGATTTCTATTAATACTTATAAAACTTAAATGATTTCTATTTTTATAAATAAAACTTCATAATAATCGAATCGTTATACAAAAAATACATATTACCTTTTTATATTATATATATAAATACCTAAAGAAAATTACATTTAATTATCAGTAATTAAAGATTATATCATCTTAAAACTTAGATATTGTGCTTACTATGAATAATCTTTTCAAAATATGTCAAATAAATTTTCCTATTATCTATACTTCATTTTTAGTAGAGTCAATTAATTCGGAAAAATACAAGTGCCTGCTTGTATAAAAGGCTTGAGGATGGATGATTTGTTTGCGAAATTTGCTTTTTTCTAAATCTGAAAATTTTTTTTCTTCAGCAAGATCGAATTGATCAGATAATTCGGATTGAACTGATTCATCGCATATAGCAGTTACCCAACCTCCAAGCAATTCATATAATTGAGATGCAGTTGGACGATTTGAAGGATCAGAATGCCAACATTGTTTCATTAATTGAGTATAAACATCTGGAGTTCCATCATTTATTTCAGGACGAAGACCAAAACAGATTTCTGTAGCTAACGTAAGATCATGTGGTCTATAACACCATGGACGAATACCTACAGAAAGTGTCCACATAATAATTCCAAAGCTATAAATATCCGATTCTTTCGTTGGTGGATTTCCTTTTATTATTTCA